TGAAAGTAGACCAGAAAATTGAAAATGTCACCTTTTCGGATTTTTTTGTTGAAGTTGATATCTCTTGACAACTAGCGCTCGAAGTAGGCTGTTTTTAGTGGCTTGTAGTGTGGAATTATTTTTGCTGGTACAATCCTTTGTTATTATGCAGAATTTTATTTTCTCAACTCTCAGCAGCAAAAAAATTGTCGCAGCAAGTGCTTGTGTGAATAGCTAATGCGACAGGTTATTTTCTTGAGCAAGTTGAAATTTTGTAGGATTTTTCTTCTTGGGCATAAAAATTTTTAGATTTTTTTCTTTATTTTCCACTTTTTAAGAGTATTTGAACGCGTTTTTATAGGACTTGCTTTGCTCTATCGAATGATATGTTTCATAGTTTTACGTCCCTTTTGTGCAGCTCCAGAATAAATATGCATTAATTGTGCATTAAACTGATATCTCATATGTCCCCCTATTTCAAATCCTTAGCATTTTGAGTGCTTATTTTTTGAATATCAAATATGATAATCTTCGGTATAGAAAATATAGAGAATAAACAGAATTCAGCTCAATAACTTCTTTTTAGCCTACGTGTCTGCAATCTGACATAACTGCAATTTACGGCACAGGTTGATACTTTACTCTCTCCATTGTGTTCCAAAGCAAAATAATTCAACGTGGGGACTTCATGGTTTTTAAAATGTCTTGTGCGTGGAAAGAATTTACTCTTTTCTCTACACACATGTTCATTCGGCCGTTGAAATTTCTCTTTTTCCCTTCATACACATGACCGCTGAAAAGTTCTTACCAAATTGTTCGACAAATGTTCAAGTCATCAATAGTTGTGCGAGGACAAGATACATAGAAGAGACATGGCGACAGTGACAAATTTATGCTCTCGCGATGCTCTTCTTCACCTCGAACGTCACTCTTCACTATTGTCAATACCTGATTTGCCCGAAGAACGTTCGGTTCTCGTTTTTAACAAAGATGAAAAGATTTTGAGTGTTTGATCGTTAAAGAAAGGTGTGGACTTTCTCGCCACTGGGTTGTCAACATTTTACTTTTTTCTGTTTGGTCGTTGATATTTTCTCATTTCAAAGAAATTCGAAAATTTTTCTGTACCACATTATAGAACTGGCTTCAGCTTAGATTTGGGAACAGAACTAACCTATTATTTCCTTCGTTATTGTCGCATTACCCTATGTACTTTGAGCAAGGCTTTGAGCATTCCAGGCTCAGTGGCTTTAAAGGAGGTTTTGAAAAATCTAAGATCTCCTTTCCTATGTAAGTCCAAGCAAATGATTTCAAAATAAAATCACAATTTTCCATTGTCCAAAAGACACGTTGGATAGGTATACTGTACTGTAACAGCTGTCATTTTTGTGTTCCTCAGAAATCTGTTTATTTCAGCCAGACATTGAAAAACACAGAAAATTTTTTCCTCCAAATTGGCAAATTGATTAGCTCTACAAAATTTGAAGTTTTTCCAAATAAAATTTTGAAATTGCTGCTGAATTCGCAATAGCATGAGGAAAAAATTCTACCGTAGTTTCACGATTAGAAAATGAACGACTTTATTTTACACTGTAGTTAAACTAGATTGAAGCTAGCTTTACAAAATTTACCCAAACGCTCTGAATACACGAAAATATTAGGGTTATTAACGATCAAACAGTGTACACGTACTCTTGCAATTCTATATGTATATTTTGACAGACTTTCTTAACACTTCCAACTTTTTAAAAAATTCCCCGGTTTCTTAATCGCTAGCTTTCTAGAGTTGATTGCGATGCTCTTGATTGGGTACACATGAGCTTGCCATCTCTTGTCTGCAATAATTCATCTCGTGGGCATATTGAAAGGAAATGAGATTTTTTTCGTTCAGCTATGTGTCCTCGGTGAGACAAGTCATCACACTTTGGTTGATGCTGCTTTTTCTTGATGTGTTAGGTTGGGCCATGAATCTCGCACAAAAATTTGTACAACGTTGGTTTTTCTAAATTAGCTTAGAACGCTTTGATTTTCATTTGTATCTTAATATGCGTGGTAAAATTTTTCATTTCTTAGACTTAACAGAAAATATTTTTGCAGAAATTAATTGTTTCAAGCAGAACCAAGTTGAGTAAAAATCCGAAAAACTATGACTGTATGTACACATTATTCTGAAAGGTCCATGATTAAGAATCAATAGTTTGAAAAGAATAGGCCGCAAGCCTGAAGCCGAAACAAAAGTTAGATTTTTCATTTTTCCAAAATGTATAACAAATTGAAACTCACTATTCATTTGTTGCTCTTCGTCTCAAATTGCCAACTATGATCGTTCTTAGCGTTGCCAGAAGCGCATATTTCCCTTTCTAAATTACAGTTTCAACGAACTAGTTGAGAGTTGGAAATTACTGAGTTTATTAGAAATTTATTGCAAGCCTTCAACATCAGTTAGTAAAGCACCAAAAAAAAATTAGAATAAATCCATGAAATTGAATGTTACGGACTGAGTCACTCTGGTTCTTCAGTAGTGACGCAAAACCTGGTTAGGTGAATAAAACGTACCGCACTTTTAAGAATGCTCAAAGCATTAGTCACCTGAAGCCAATTTATCAGTAACAGCAAAACCAGATCGTTAAGACAGTATACCTCTTTTTCCTTTACTGTGCTATTACACATAAATTTTTATTGCAAATATGGGGTTATATCGCTGTCATATTCTCATTTATGAATCGTTCGGCAACTTTATGAGCGGAAACTGAAAACCATCGCCCTTTAATCCACCCGTACAGCCTGTACATATCTGTTGTAAAGTACTAAAACAATGTTCATTTATTTTTGGTTGAAGAAACTTCTTCTCTTTGAGATATAAACTGAGCACTAAAGCGTTATGAAGGTTGCTTTGGTGTATTTATTTTGCTTTGAAATGCCATGACAACGAATTATTTGCTCAGAGATATGCCTAATTTATATAAAAGACGTGGAAACTTTGAATATAGAAAAGAGCTCTGCAAGGAGTGAACGTTACTTTTCCTTAGCTCTGCTTTGTTTGCTCTTCTCGCTTCCAGCTCTTGTTCAGCCCATATCGGACGCAATGTTTATGTAGAGCTTTTAGTATTCAGATGCTTTCAACATTTGCTATAGTCAGTTTGATACATCGCTTCTGCCTGCTTATGATGGTTATTTTCATTTGAATGTGTAAGTGCTGATTAGCAGAGAATGGCGGTTTTTAAGACCGAAAAAAAAAACTTGAGCCTGCTTTTTTTGAGAGAGAGAGTGAGGATGCGATATGAAAATGAATTCTATTACGGACTGTCAGGCTGACAAAGACCACTCCATTTTAGAAAATTTGTAATCACCTCTCATCTCCTTATATAACCCTACAACATCTATCAGAAGGGTACTATAATATCCAAGTATGCAACAGAATATTCTGTTACATTTTTGGAAACTCATTATTTTCCGTAGAGATTTAGAGGAAAAACGTCTTTTTTCTAAACTGTACTATTTGAACGCACAGAGTTTTACCGCTAGCATTTTCGTCCAGATGAGAACTGCAAAACTCGATTAAATATTTTTGAGAGCCTGTGTTAACGTTGACTTTTGCTTACGTTAGTAGAGAGCATGACTTCCACTCTCTAAAAGTTAACAAATTAAGCAAACAAATTGCACATTTTGCTTACAAAATTCAATTTATAAAAATACATATCCTAATTTTGCTGCATGTCTTATTGAATCAATATGTATCATCGCTATAGAAAGGGGCTTACATTTCCAGAACAGTAATTTTTTATGTAATTTGCAGTTGATCAAGCATGTAAGTTTTCATTTACATAGCGCATTCTCAGAAATATTTTCAACGGATCAACTCAATTATAGATTTCTACAAAGTCACTGCGCATTCGATTTGACGTCTATTTTCGAGAAGGAAAATATCCCCGGAATATTTCCCAATATTCTTGTCGCATTGTCTATTCATTCTTGACGCAAAACTTGATAAGAAGGACAAATGCATTTCTGCCTTTTCCAGCTACGGTCAATGCTCTAACACTCACAAACATTTAGTGAAAAGGTCATCGTATTATTCGGCTTTGGTTATATTTGACTCTCGTCACTGATTCAAGTTCAATTTTGCATAATTTTGGTATCTGATGGAGAAAAAGAATTTCTTCTAAATTCTGAATGGCTCTACCATCTCGCTGTAAAGAAATGATAACAGGACAAAGCATCTTTGGCTTCCAAATTATGGCCCACTTTTATATCCCCAAAATTTTTCGCTATCAAGAAAAACTCTATGGTACCATAGATATCCCCATAATCCTTATCCGACCCTTACGCCTCATTCGAGTTCAAGGAAACAGTTTTTATCACAAATTTTGAGGCATGTAGGACAAATTTGACACCACAGAGGTCTATTTAATCAAGCGTGTGACGATTGACCAATATGTGGGACACAATCCATGGGCAGAGGGGGTGTGCGGGTGTCTGTGACCTTCCTTTTTTCGACACAGGACAGCATGTATTGCGTCTCGTAATTCATGCAACAGCCTGCAAAAAAATCAGAGCGAATCGGCACTGATAAGGTGACGAATTAGCACCAATTCTCACAGTACATCGATGCTCAACTTGCTATTGATTATTTTTGCGGTTAAAATAATAATTTTGATTGGAAAATTGTACTCTGAAGCATGCCGAATCTAGTTTTCTATCTTCCAAATCCGCAACGGGCCATGACCTTTCTGTCTATCTACTTGTACCAGGCTGATTATTGATTACTTTTCATTATTCTTACATATTTTCTCTTTTCCTCTCAAAATTATCTCAAAACTCTGAGTCCTTGTTGATTCTTAGCATGCTCTAGTGCTTATAAGGGTGATAAAATGGATATTATATCAATTATTTCAACAACCAAAAGTGAACGACGATGCTGCCAGTTTACTCAGCTTTTCTTCTCTCTTTTTCGTTCTCATCCATCCATCCTATAATCGTGATATTCTATTTCATGACCCACATCTTCCTATACTTCTTTTCAGGCTGCGGAAGAAACGGTGGGACTGCGTCACTCCGAGCTAGCGGAGATGGAAAATCGTGATGTACCCTCTACCTCCACCAACACTACCCCTCCAACGCAAGGTAAATTTTTTTTGATTACTCGCACGCTCAGAAAAATTCGCTTATTTGAACTTCTGTGACCGCTGATTCTGCATTTTTCTTTTTCTTAAAAGTGTCACAAACCGCAATTGCTGAGGTGTTGTAATGAACCCATTTTTCGTTGTGTAAAGTAATTATGCTCGCAATCATCCATTTATCATTCAGAAGAATTTTTACATTGTACTAAATAGGCCTCTCACTACCAGTTTTGATATAATTCTCCAAAAAATTTCTGGGTTTTCTGCATTCTCAGCTCTGGTCACGCATTTTTCTGAAGTTTTCCAAAAGCCTCATTCAATGAATTGCAGTCTAAGCTAGTGCTGTGTAGAACTCTTTTGTGCACCCCATTCATTATAGACTATTTTCTCGAATATTTTCTCTACCTGCATCAGTATGTTTCACTACTGTGTGGCTTTTTATTTTGCATATTGATTTACATTGCTAGTTCAGAGATTGAGACTCGTACTGCAGGACCCATTAATTAGTGGTATGTAAATAGATAGTAAGCAATTACCTTTTAAGAAATAAAGTTAGTTTTATCTTAGCACCAAGTCCCTTAAATAGTTGTCTGGTATCTTCTAACAAGCAGGCTGTTGAAAAATTATTAGGAACCTTCTCTGTTAGAAGGAGTTGAATGAGGCGTAATAAAGATTTTTGCACAGTGAGAATAAGGTGTCAATAACCATTTTTTGAATCAAATTTTAATAATTCTTTCAAAATATTGCAAAACACAAGGTTTACTGCAGCTTTTGCTTTGTGACATTAGCAAATTGGAAGCTTCTCTACATAAAATGTTTCAATTAATCTGCGATGATTGTGCTCCTGAGTCATACCATATTTATTATACAATTATTCGCCAGCCTTTTATTAAACTCGCTCTCGCTTCCAATTCGATCTTATTTTCGAATGTATATGTCATTCAAAAAAATCGCAACAATTTCTAATCGTAATGCTTAATTCTGTTAAAAAAGGTTAGTTGGAAGCTCGTTTTGTGAACTGCTTGTTGCTCACTAATTTCCAATTGATCTTTCTTGAGTTGCTCAATAAAGAACGTTATGAATACTAGTATCAAAACTTCAGTACACATGTGTATACACTTAAACATAACATACTGGATATCCGTTTTCCCATAATTTTCCGTAAATACTTTATAAATTTTCCATATTACTAATATTTGTACTTCTTGAATTATTTTTGCTTCTTCTGTAGCTGAATCTTTGTTGCTAATTGTGCCACTGCTCAGGAAGGCATATTGGTGAGCAATCGTCTTCGTCTCCGACGTCAAATTCAAGCGAGGTACGGGTTGTCGATGGCCGCTCACCTCCGGGCGTCCAGACGACAAGGAACGAGTATCCGAGAGATCGAACAGCTCGGAAATGGAAACAGCATCAGGGCAGAAATCGCTTTTTCTGCGATGGACATGTGAGTAGACAGCAACTACACCCTCTTTTCATTTATAAACATGCTTATTTGGCGGCCTAATCTTTGCAATATCAGGCCTCAACATTTGATCAAAAATTTACTATCAATAGTCATTTGTGGACTATCCACGTTTGCAGCAGCTTTTTCTAGCAATCATATGATCGTAGTGTACTGGTGAATCATGCTATTCAAACAAAAATCGACAAGCCTCACTTATCTCGTTGCATGTCCAGGAAAGTGACGAAGCTCGCAATGTTCTTGAGTTCCTCAAGTTTTTTACAGAAACTAGCTTTCCAGTGAATCCAGTTCTTGTAGCAAAAACAGTATCTTTATAAGTGAGAGAAACTTATGCGATAGAAGCGCCTTTATGTGCTAATTTCAAAAAAATTCTTTTCTATCCGCGAAATCTCCCTGAGTAAAACTAATTGTTGCGTGGTAAAGTGTGATTTTGGAGAGGGTTAGATCAATTCGAAATTTTCTTTTGCTTTTTTTTAAACTTTTAGATTAATCAGGATGGTCTGCTTGGCTGTTAATAGCCCGAACCGCAAAACAACCGATGTGAATGATATTGCTTATCAATAATCATAGCCAAGGAAAATTTGATCATATCTTTTTTCAGAAGACCGCATCTCAGATAGAAAACAGAATCAAAGTCAATTATATTAGGTTGTTGCAAAAGTTTTGTCGTTTCATTTTCAAAAATTTGTAACTCCGCGAAATTTCAGCGGGTTTGCTTGCTTGTAATTTTAGAAAGAATAAGTCTTTCGCTTTCAAATACTGTTCTGTGAAGCTTCTGTTTCGTACTGGGTGCGGAGATAAAAATGGAAAACTAAGACCATATAAGCTTTGACCATTTTAAGTTAGGTCACCAAAAATCGGGAACGCTGCAGAAAAATCTGAAATCGTCAGTACATATGTTTTTCCTACCCTTTGCAACTGTGAAAAGTTTGTGCTGTTTGGACGTCTTTGTGAGAAGTTATGATTTTCGCAAAAATTGACAAATTAATTAATTTTGGCGTTTTCCATAGTAAACTCGATATTCATAACTTCTCACAGAGACGTCCAAACAGCACAAACTTCTCAGCAACTCTCATAGTTGCGAAGAGTAGGCCAAAAACATATGTACTGAGGATTTCAGATTTTTCTGCAGCATTCCAGATTTTTGGTGACCTAACTCAAAATGGTCAAAGCTTATATGGTCTTAGTTTTCCATTTTTATCTCCACACCCAGTACGAAACAGAAGCTCTACAGAACAGTATTTGAAAGCGAAAGACTTATTCTTTCTAATAAAATTACAACAAGCAAATCCGTTGAAATTTCGCGGAGTTACAAATTTTTGAAAATGAAACGACAGAACTTTTGCAACAACCTAATATATTGAGATGCCTCTCATGGCTAACCAAGTACAATTACTTGCTAGAGAGATATCCGAATTGTACGACAATGATGAATTTCTTGGACCCCCCCCCCTCTTTACTGAGGAATGGGTGTTGAAATATTGACCACATGGATACATCTTGAATTATCAAATCACTGGTCATCGTCATCCCATGATTGTTGGACTTGTACTGCTATATCTACAAGAGCGTTTCGTATACAGGGAGAATTTGAAGTTTTGTATCAGCATAGGCACTTTTTATTTCTTGTATCATTTGCTCATATGTTAGCCCTTGTTATAAGATAGCTCCTGGTGACTCATAAACTTTATCTCTCTGTTTCAAAGCAGAGAAGACCTGTAAGTGTTGACTCTTTTTACGTCATTGAAGCTGAACTCCCATGAAGTAAAAAATGCTCTTAGTCATGACAAATGAATGTTTTCATTGAGAAATGCAAGAATTAGAGCAAATGTAATTTTTATTGAAAATTATTAGTTATGTTCAGTTACATTAATAATGATTAATAGAACAAGAGAGAGTGAAGGAACACGTTGACAATGCCCAAAAACTTTTCTGCTCTGAGCGGTGAACATTTCGTCTGGCCACAGCAGCAATCACATTCTCGGAACAAAAAATTCAGCTTTGCTGTTGTAGCAAAATTCTTCTTGGTCACCGAAGAGATTCGGGTCCGGCGCTGAAGGTTATTCGAAGATTGGATATTTTTGCATTGGAGAAAAACTTCTGCTCATCAAATCACCACGATATGATTCTTTTGATATGCTATAATATCGTAATGTGGCGGGACTGTAAGAACCGATAGTAATTTTTATGACAAATGATTGCAACTGTTTATCTATCGGACTCCTACAGTCCTAGCAGTTCCTGGTATCGAAAGATATTCGTCGAGTTAATAGTTTTCAATGCGAAGGATGTTTCAACATGCTTTAAAAGTAGGCAATTTTTTGCTTTTTTTTTACGGAAGACAAGAGCCACGAACATCATAAAAACTTACCTCAATTTTTCTTTCTCGAGACACTTGATCTAGCTATATGCTAATTGCATCAGAATGGGTAGTATTGTTTGCATAGCGATGATGACGATGACGTACGAAATGTGAGCTGTGACGTATTCAAGCAAGTCAAAAAACTCACCTACGTGGGAATGAGGGAAAACAATAGAATGTTACTTTTTTCAATTTTTATTTATCAAACGTTCCTATAAGAAAAAGATAAATTACCTGTTTACACTGCGGATAGATTCAAAAATAATCAGCACACTGAAAATAGCACTAAATTGTATCTTCTAGATCGCCATCCATAAATTCGAGCAGTTGAGTGCCAAAATGTTGTTTGATTGAAAATTAATAGAATTGTTGAATGTGATTCAGAAATTCTTCAAACTACCTAAGAATGTTTCTCTAGTGGAGTAGTATTTCATGCTTTATCAGATAGTTTGCAATTTCACTCCTTTCTCAATAAAAATAGCCGAAATCGATTCATCTAGTGCGTTTTTTTCAGTGTTTGACGTGATTAATTTATCATTTGTTTAAGACAGTTCCATCTAAGGCAAAAACACGTCTAGAAAGTTCGGCGAATTATCATTAGTAGTCGGTATAGAGCTTGCTGTGAAGAGGCACCATCCGAAACGTTAATAATCGTCTTTTTTCGAAAAATTCTGAATTATTGCACTTTCAAGCTAAATTTTGTGAATTAAAACTCATACTTTGATTTGTTTGGTTAAAAATTTCGACAATGTACTCATTTTCAGTCTTTATAACACTGCATTTCAGATAGTCATGGCCCGTCAAATAAACGTTTTCGTTTTCACGCTGTTCTTGATCTCGACAACACTTACTCTGTTCTTCGTTTTCGAGTAAGTCACTTCCAAGAACTTTCTGTCATCATTCTGTGAGTCTCTATTTTCAGTGCACCTTTCCTTTACAACGAGGTTTCACCTGCTCTCCCAGTTGTCGCCGTAGTACTATCATTGCTAGTTTTGGTTAGCTTACTGAAGACATCGTTCAGTGATCCTGGTATCCTACCTAGAGCACCGAATATGGAGGTAGCCGAACGAACACGTCAACATTTTCATGGTTAGCAGTAATGTACTCTTCTTGATTTATAAATCTTCCGCTTTATTGTTCACCTTCTTCAGACGTGATTTCTGATCCCGATTACAATCCGGATACTAGTGTACTACCGGATCCTCCAAGAACGAAACAGGTTGGAACTTTTGTTTCCGCTTCTACATCAATGGCATTTATGATGCATTCCTGAACAATTGTAAACAACAGGTCCATATCTTGATGCTTGGATATATGTTTTGAGTTGAAACAGATATATTGGGAATTTTTTTTCAAATTTTTTCATTCTGTTTAGTATGTGCAGTTTTTTCACAATATAAGTTGAAATTTTCCCCGCAAAATATAAAAAACAAAGTCGAAAAATTACATGTGGCTATGTTGAACAGAGCGAATTAAATTTGAGAAAATCAGACGATAAAATTGATCCAGAGTATTATTAGGAGTCCCTGGATCTTTTTATTTTAGCAGCAGGTTCAAATGAATCAAAAATTTGAGTGTTCGGCTTCAATAGCTTTTATTGCCGCAGTATATAGTAAGTAATTTTTGTTTTAAGAAATGATGAACGACGCATCTCCTCTCTCCAATTTATATCATGTCAGTAAATTGTTAAATCTGAAGGAGATTACGAATTTTCTTACATCTCGCTGCAAGACCTATGGTCAAAACGAATAATATTATTGGTGTTAAGTGAGATTTTTTTGAAGCTGCACTGACATTTGAGTGATACCAATAGTGGAGCGTATTTATGAGTTTTCGGAGGCTAGTAATTCGATCGGCTGTTCAGCAGGCAAATGAATATGAACTTTTGTTGCAGGTGAAGATAAATGGACAGATCGTTCGCCTGAAGTATTGCTTTACATGTAGATTATTTCGACCTCCACGAAGCTCGCATTGTTCTGTATGCGATAATTGTGTGCTCAATTTCGATCATCACTGTAAGTCATATCATATGCTAATTGCTAATAAAAAATTCTCGAAAATTTGCTGTGAAATGTCCCGAATTGATTTCAGGTCCATGGGTGGGAAACTGCATTGGTCAGAGAAATTATCGACATTTCTACTTTTTCATAACCTCGTTAGCGTTGCTCATCATCTGTCTATTCGGCTGTTCACTTGCGCATCTTATGATATGTTAGTGTGCTTTTTTCCTTAAACCTTTGAATTTCTGGTTGCCGAGCCTATCCGTTAAGTGTCACGCACGGAGCAGTTTTTGAACGCCGTGAAGATGTCGCCGGTCTCACTTATTGTTGTACTTATCTGCTTTTTCTCCATATGGTGAGTTTCAAAACAGTGGACAAAAACCCAACTTCTACATCCGGTTTTCTACATTAATTGTTTGTCAGTGAAGTTTCCACATCCTCCGATAGCAATTGCAGGTCGATTGTCGGTCTGGCAGGATTTCACACCTATTTAGTTGCGACAAACCAGACAACAAATGAAGATGTGGGTCAAATTCTAGCTGTAAACAGTTTATTTAGATCACTTTGCTCCACTCACCAACATATAGAAACAAACAGTGAGGGCATATACGATGGGGGCAATAAATCTGTGAAGTAAAGCGGTTCTTGAAAATCCATCCAGGAAATGGGGAGGAGGGCGAGCATATGAGTTATAAAGTTATGCAAAAAAAACGTTTTCACTTGTAAATGATGAATATTTCTTAATAATTTTAGACTGGCTTTGTAAGAAAAATGAAGGGGAGGGATGCCAATTCTTCTTTCCCTTCGGTTTTTCTCGAACAGAGAATTATAAACTCGTGGAATATTTGAGAGCGTCTTGAAATTTTTGGGGAAGCGTGGTCGCGCCAATCCCCCATTTAAATATGATTTCTTTTTCCTGTCCTCTTTCCTCCAAGATATTTCCAACAGATCAACACCCCACAAAATCAGCAATTCTATGCTTGCTGATTCACCCTTTACGTTTACCTACCTATTTTTCGATTGGCACTTCATTCAAAAAGGGAGCACAATAGGGGAGAGAGATTCACTCTGCAAAATTTCCACAGATTTTTTTGGCATCACAGAGCCTATTTTTAGATAAATAACACAAGTAAATAAATAAAAAGGAAAAATGTGGTTTTTTAGACTGAACAAACTATACTTGACTTTTTTACTGGCTCCATTTTATCCATGCTGTGATTTGTTTTCAGTAGGAACCTTCTTACTTTGATTCATACTTTGTGGTTTTCCTTAGATTTCTGAACTTACCAATTTTAGGTCAAGGGTACGTTTAACAACAAACGACGAGCTCAGCAAGTCATTAATCCGTACTCCTTCAACTCCATCGTTCAAAATTGTTGCTGGAGGCTTTGTGGACCAGAACCTCCTAGGTAGCTACAAATGTTGGAAAAGCTTGATTTTTGCACGGCAGAGTTATCTTTGCAGCTTATTGAATCCTCGAGGCCATGTATCCGACCCCGTACTTCGAATACCCATACCACCTCGTGGATATGTCAACGAAGCATCCGACGAGACTAAATAAGGTGAATGTTACGGTCTATGTTGATTTGGTTTGAATTATGAGAAATGGCGAATTTTAGGGTAGCAGCAGCAACATTTGGAACGCTCAGAGCCAAGTGCATTTCTGTTGCCGTACGTCTGTAAGAAGAGGCTAGAAAACTTTCACATGAATGTTTCATGCCAACGGGTTACGTCCTTTCTGTGATGTGGATTAAACGAAACACCGCTTTTATGCAATAAAAGTTGGACGATTTATGTGTTTTTGATGGAGCATTGGAAACATTTACCTTTATGGACCAGGACTCCGCAGGAGTCGTCTAGGGGTTTCTGGAAACGAAGTCTGCTTGACATTCCGAAATTTTACGAAGTCCCCTTTGAACCTGTCGGGAACATCGACTTAGGAGAAGATGGAAACAAATAAGAATCACTATTCTGAAAAGAATTAAGAGTGAAAATTCAAACGGAGCTGAAAACGACTTTCTTATTTCTTCGAAAATTTAGGATCGGAAACAGGAAAGTAACAAATTCCATGATGAAGTTCACGAATGCAAAAATTTCTAATATGATTACTCTCGCCTCCTGAGGTAATCTGCAGTCTTACAGCTGCGCGTTAGAATGGCTGGCTTAGAATGAAGACATATCTTACCTTCCCTTTGAGACTCAAAGATCGATGAAATCGATATTGCTGTTATTTGGTTCGTAAGCAGACTTGTATACAACTAGCTGCCAAACTCCAATTTTGTATCTCAAGTTTTGTGAAAAACGTGAGCGTCTTTTTTGTTTCTTTCGTGAAAAGAGAGACAGTACAGAAAACACCGACGCTCCTACCGCCATGTCGCGTATGACCTCGAGCTGGCCTACACAATGTAACTCCCAACTCATAGCGGCACTTAGGTTACTTAGCCACATCTTTCCTTGTTTCCTTCACAGAACACTAATTTTTGATTTTTTGTTATCATTACGATTAACCATTCTTCAACACTTATATTAGAAATCTTCTCTAGCTCAATAATACCATAGTCTTATGAAAGTACCCTCTGAATGAAAGTGATTGCTCCGAACGAATTCCATTTCTGTATTTCTTCTTGGAGTTTACTTTCGTACTATCGAACAGCAGCTAAGATCAGTTCTCTTCACTTTTTCCTGTCGATATCACAAGTAACTCTAACAGAGAGGCATAAGTGGATAATTTCACTCAAAACAAAATAATATTTGTAACTCAAATCTCCACATTCACGCTTCTGACTTAAAGTCTATTGAAGTAATTGCTTTTATTTCGACTTACTGTTGAGTGATTTTAGCTCTCTTTCAGTGATGAGTCGGTCAAATCCTCCGACTCATCCTGCATTATTTGCCTTGATTGCATATTCAAATTGTGACCAACATAATTTGCTTTCGGCAGGAAAATCGCAGGCAAGCAAGGGTCATGACCTATAGGCTGTTATCTACCGTTCAGTCACCCTATCAATGAACACTTGCGGATCTTGCTTGTCAAGGCTTATTCAATTTTGTCCATTCCAAGCTGTTGCAATTTAGCACATCACTTCTCAGCATCGGTCATTTCAATGTTCTTACAAATGCTACAGTGCAGTAGCAAGGCAGAATTTTTATATGGACGTGTGATTAGGTACAGTGTCTATGCGGATAATCGCATTTCACTTCCGAGTCACAGATATTACAGTTTTTCAGCACCAAAACGTTTGTGTAAATGTATGTAAATTGTATTTGGTTACGGTGAGTGTACGGTTGAAGGCCGAAATCACAGTTTGTTCGACTTTGTCTAGGTGGTTAAGTGACCGCTTAATATTAGGTTGATGCAAAAATAATAAACGTTTTTCTAGGGCTTTTTTCAGGACAACTTTTCTCCATCAAACTTCTTTCTTTGAAACAGTTTCAGCACATTGTTAAAAAGCCCCTTTTATGCTCTACCTAATGGTATTTGAAAGGGACTTCCTGCTTACTTTATTAAGAACTTATAGAGCCTTAAATGATCGCACTCAAACCAGAGTTTCGTTGTATTCATTTTTCTGTCCAGAATTTAAGCGCAAATGAAGGTACTTTTTTGAAACTTTAACCACTGTTAGTGACAGAAATTTTGTCTACATTATGCATAATTAATCATATTTTTTGAAGTTATCTAAAGTGAGATATCGACACCTTAACATGGGTAATGGTTGTAGTCATTTCAGAACCCATGACTTTCTTTTGTAGAATGCAATCGCTCAAACGTTGCTCATTTCTGCAAGAGTGAGCGTAGACAGTTTCCTGTTGACAGTTTTAGCAAAGGCATTTAGCTGTTCAGTACGCAGAAAATTCGAAAATTCCATACTTTGGGATTTTGAGGCCTACTGAAAAAATTCTGAAAAAGTTGGTACCTTTTGATTTCGATTTTCTCCTCTTCGCTAATCTTTTTTTCTCAGAGCCCTTTCCATGTATGTTTCTACTACTGGCTTGTGGCTACAAGATAGGCTGCTTATAAATCATTATAACAAAGTGTGAAAGGAGTTGTTTTGTAAACAAGACTTTAGAAGAAAGCTTTTTTTGTTTTTTATTCCATCTTTGTCCGCCCATGTGAGATAGAATACAGATTAATGTGCGCATCCGTTGGACTTTATCAAATTTCAAAATGTAGATTGTATAGAAAGTCATAGCAGGTTAAAGTGAAGAATGGAAAAACGGTTATTATTTTTGCACCAACCTAATATGAATACATCATAATAAAGCCCTACATCAATCCAATTTTTACAAGTTACGGCGGTTGTACGGTAGACGGTCCTAGATCCAATGATGGTTAAAAATGTTGCTGGAGGGGTATCCCATCGCGGGATTAAGTCTTTGCTCGTTTTAGTAACAATACAATTACGGTAGGTGATCGAATGTGCAAAAAGCTTTTTTGCGATGTGGCTATCTGACTTGCTCATAACCAATGTCACACCCAGTTCGTTTAAGTTGATCTTCTTGTGGATCTTTAGATTTAGATTGGCCTAAGAAACAAAAAATCTTTGTTTGACGGTGGAAATCGTATGACTTTGATAAAATGATATCGCAGTTAGACATAACATTCTCCATTAATACGCTTAACCTCAAACAAGTGAAAAAATTTAGCTTCGATTAACCTATACACCCACCATAATCAAAGAAAAATGTGTGATATGAAACCAGTAAGCTATTCATGTTTCATTGCCAAGTAACATTTCTAAATTTTGGTGCAAAATCTGTGGTGTTCACCTCAAGCGTAATTCTTGCGGCTAGCAGAAGGAACGATAATATGGCAAGTGTCAGTAACTCGTGCATTTTCTACCAATTTTTTCCATCATTGTGTAAAAATTTTGAAGCATTTCTTTCTTTCTTTCACATCGTCAATCTACCCGCTGTGCTGCTGTTTAGAATATTGGAAAGCGTGAGTGATAAATAAAAAACTTTGAAAATATCATCGACCAATCGATGATTCCCAATACTTGTGCCTATGAGGTCATACTTAAGGGGGCGTGCCATGTCTGCCGTACGTCCACCTGGGAGGTCTCGACTCAATCCTGATCACACGTTGACCACCACCTCAGATAATCACTGGGGGCTGGCGGCAATGCGATTTTTGGGCAAGCGGAAACTGGAAAAATAGTTCGCTGATTCCTTGCGGTCCGTTTGCAGATATTCGGAAGATGGTTGGTCAAATTTTAAACGATTTCTCGGAAACCACTGCACCTTTTTATAGATTAGTTGCCGCGCATTGGCCGAATTCTTGCTGACATTCCGCGATAATATAATTATTGAGGGCCACACGGTCCTTTGTGAAGGACCGCACAGCCCGCAGGTACTTTCCGCTGAAAGAAAGTACCCCAAACCCGGGTAAAACCTCTAGGAAACCTCTAATATGTAAAGTGTTACCGTGGCTCAGGTACGCCCGAAACTGCGTAACAAGAGTCCGAGCGTTTGCGGAAAATTTGGCTAGCGCTCGCTGAACGAAATCATTTGACGACCACTCGCAGAAAATTCTGTACTGTTGTCCGCTGGCAGAACATGCCACAATAAAGGAAGTAGCGCTCGCTAAAGGTTTGGGCTGACTGCCTGCAGAAAAGGGCAAGTTTGCGGTCCGCCTGCCCCCAGATTATCTGAGTAAGGTCACTAACTCACACTCGCATTCAGTAAACCACTGAACCACCAATTCTGTCCGTTGTTTCACAGTATAGTATTGCATTTCGAGGCAAACACCCCTCGAAGAGTCTCCACCGCGTGCAGCTTAATTGGGATAGCCACTTCACCGGAATGTGCTTGTGCTATCCCGATCCGATATCGAAAGCATCACAAGCCTAAACTGAGACTGACTTTGCCTTCAATGTTTGAAGGCAGTCCATCGCGACGCCTGGTCTCGGCCACAACTACTTGCTTTGCTTGCACAGTAGAGGACAACAACAACACAATGTACCAAAAATGACCTCATCGTTATTGAAGACCCGTCAACGACCAGAAACCTCGGACATCTACAATCACCGTCATCTAAACTACAGTCTATTCACACTAGCCGCAATTGTAGACACTCCACTGCACGCCGCATAGTCCACTAGCCAACAATCTCGATCAAATTTACCATCACATCAACTACGAACATCTTCTGAGAACAGGTATATGATCATATTTATGTGCACATTATCATGGTATTTTATCGCTAAAGCTTGTACTTATTTCCTCCCTTGTACTTATTTCCTCCCTGGCCGGAGTATCATCAACCAGTCGATGATTTCCGATACCCGTGCTAACGACGTCAAACTTAAGGGGGCGTGTCATGTCTGCCTATGTCCACCTAGGAGGTCTCGACTCATTCCTGATCACACATTGACCACTTAAGGTCACTATCTCGCAGTTGCGGTTACCGTATCCAGTAAACCACTGAACCACTTCTGTACATTGTTTCACAGTATAGCATTGCATTCCGAGGCAAACACCCCTCGAAGGGTCTCCAACGCGTAAGAAAGTGTAACTCATCTTTCAGCATTGTTAACATTTTAGCAAACTGCTAAGTATCACTTCAGGGACATCAGGATCGCAGTGTTGTACAGATATTTACGTTGTGACCAAGCCGACTTCGACAGGCAAGAGCTGCAAGAAGGCTTGAAAAAAGCAATTAAAATTGATGCGGATGGATCTCAAAAATACATGGGATATGTTATCGCAATTGGCAGGTGCAAAGCGAAGTAGCGAAGATAAAATCTCTCATACAAAAGACAAGGCAAGACCCCGATTCACAAGAAGAACTTGTTTCAAAAGACGTGATGGAGCATAAACCATCGAGCCGCTCCAAACCAGCTCGTCTTCTGAAGTAAACTTTGCTTCAAGCGATTCGCTGGAGCCGTCTACTTCATGGCAAACATCCACGATAACGACACCACAAAGGCAACTACTGTACACATGCTTTGGTGACACGGAGTTCCGAGGTTGAAGAATTTTGCAAAAAACTTTGGCGAGAATAAATTAGAGTACGTGTAAAAATGTATAATCAATAGGTGGAGATCAAATAGCGGAGGTATTCAAAGCAACTACGTCAAAGTTGGAGCTCATCTCTTACGAAAGAGATTTGTCGGGCTACTATTTAGAAGATCATAATGTTTTGAAAATCATTTAAAAAAAAAGGTAAGCATTAGCTTATCAATTATGCATATGCGCAAAAAATGATATGCGCAACTGGACTTTTCAGATTGGCAAAGAAAAGCGGTCAAATTTAAGTATTATCGTAAATTAGACCGACAACGTCATCTACTGCTCTTAAAATTCAAGAGTTTATTCACGAAACACTGGTAGCTATTACAATTTGCTGATGTTTATTATTGTGCTAAGCATTAATTGATTGCACTTGCATCATTTAATGCTTAGCCGGGTGCTCCGAAGGGAAAGGAAGACAAACTGAAGAACGGTATATGGAATTATCTATCGTACATAGAGCGCTTTATGCTCGTAGCTATGAGTGCTCGAGACAGTCATTTTTTGCAGCCATCGAAATTGGAACTCTCCTCATGTTACATTTCCAGGGTTAACGAGACGGCGTATATCGTTTTAGTTTACGGTTGTGGAGCCAGTGTTGAGAACTATAGTGATAGCTACCCGGATGTCATGGATGTCTTAGCCGATCAGGTTGCATGGAACAAGGTTGCTATTCCACAGCCCGTCACTGTAATAGAAATACCGAATGGGGTGTGGGAGTGGAAGAAGTGAAGCCAAGAGTGACTACAGGCAACTTAACACTGGAGCTAAACGTCATACTACCGGTACGCATGAAACAAACTGATTATGTAACAGAAGAAACACTTCAAAGCGCTCAAATTTACTCTTAGGTATCAAATTCGTCATTGGAACCAGTAATCAGACACTACGACTATGATGACGGCAGCACTTCTTCTTCTGTGTTAGAAAGATTTTTGAGCATAAAACGACTAGTGCTTTCATTCTCGCCATGTTATTTGGACTCGTTTTCTTAGCCATCTATCACATTTACCGTCAATTAAAATTGATTAGGCAATCGATAAAAACGCTAACTTATTGCGAGAAGCTCAAAGAGAGCTAATCAGAATTGCTGGTGTTGATTATGCCGTAGCAAAAAAAATCTACGCAGGTTTCTATGTCATAAAGAGTAATGAACAAATTTTGTGCTAATTGAGAAGTGTTCTGAACACGTTTGATACTTTGTGTACTATGTTGTTCATCAAATATCATCGATGTTGTTGTTCTAATTACATTTTCAAAAAAAAATGAACAGGGTGATCATCAACTGAAGAATGGCTGAGCGCATTCGACGAGGGCAGAAGTACAACAAAATTGTAGAAATTAGCGATGCTGCACAGAAGAATCTAGACCGGCTGAAAAGAGAGCGTATTGTGAAATTTTTGCTCAATCAAATGCATGACGGTAGGTTATATGAAGTAGTTATATGAACTTTTTGGACAATAGTTTTTTTATTGTATATTTGTAGATATGTTTTATCCTAAAAACCCAAGTGAAGCTGCTCACTTCTGTGTCGTTTGCGGAAAGCAGGGAGAGTATCGCATAAGCGAGCATCTGCTCCGAGCCTATAATGACGTGCTACCTAAAGATTCCATTGAATACAAGGTTAGTTTTATTTTACGGGCGTTAATCTTTGAGTATCAAGTAATGCAAAGTTTATATTAGCATATCTCTCTAAATGTAGATTGTCGACCAGCTAAGACGTGGGATTACTCAATTCATTGGCAAAGCAAAAATAAACTTATCAATAGTGCGTAGATCAATAACCGATGGAGAATGGGAAATATACAACGATTTCAAACAACAGATAAATGTGTGGCATACCTATTGAAGGAGTGAGTTAATTCGATACTATAATGAGTTTACTTTTGCATTGTTAACATTTTAGCAAATTGCTAAGTGTCACTTTAGGGACCTCAGGATCGCCGTATTGACCGCTACAGATATTTACGTTGTGATCAAGCCGACATCGAAAGGCAAGGTTGCAAGAAAGCTTGAGAAAAGTGAGTTAATTGATGCTTATGGATCTTAAAAATACGTGCGATATGTTATCGAAATTGGCAGGTGCAAAGCGAAGTAGCGAAGTTAAAATCGCGATATGAAGGGGAGCTCTCATACAAAAAACAAGACAAGACTCCGATTCAGAAGAAGAAGTTGTTTCGAAAGACGTGGTGGAACATGAACCGTTGAGCCACTCCAAACCAGCTCGTCATTCTAAAGTAAAATTTATTTCAAGCGAGGCGCTGGAGCCCTCTACCTCACGGGAAACGTCCATGATAACGACATCATAAAGGCGACTACTATACACATGCTTTGGTGACACGGAGTTCCGAGGTTGAAGAATTTTGTAAAAACTTTAGCGAAAATAAATTACAGTACATGTGTAATAAATGTATAACCCCATAGGTGGAGATCAAGTGGCGGAAGTACTCACAGCTACGCCAAAGTTCGAACTCATGTTCTCTCACGAAAAAGATTTGCCGGGCTACTATTTAGAAGATTATCATGTTTCAAAAAAAACATGAAAGGTAAGCATTAGCTTATCAATTATGCATATGCGCAAAAAATGATAGGCAAAACTGGGCTTTTCAGATTGGCAAAGAAAAGCGGCCGAATTCAAGTATCATCGTAAATTAGACCGAACACGTCATCCACTGCTCTTACAATTCGAGAGTATATTCGCGAAGCACTGGTAACTATTACAATTTGTCGACATTTATAATTGTGCTAGTTGATTGCACTTACATCAATTACTGCTTAGCCGGTTCCGTCGGGAAAGGAAGACAAACTGAAGAACGGTATATGGAATTATCTATCGTACATAGAGCGCTTTATGCTCATAGCTATGACAGCTCGAGACAGGTCACTTGCTGCAGCCAATGAAATTGGAACTCTCTTCATGTTACATTTCCAGGGTTAACGAGACGGTCACAGTTGACGACGCTATCTACTCCTGCGAGATTGTGGATGCGTTTATGAAGCATTTGAAGGAAGTGGGTGTCAGTGTTTATACACGAAAAGGAATAATAAAAGCTCTGGTATCGTTCAACAAGTTTATTGATTTAAAAATTGAAGATTTAAAAATTATTGTGTTGCAAGAGTTGTCGTCGAACACAAAGGAGTAGAGGAAACTGTGGAAAAAGTGATGAATTATTTTGAGCAAAAAGGAACGTTGCAACCTGCTCAATACAACTATCAAATGGGGTAAATCGCTGCCAATGCTTCTCTTGAATTTTGTACCCTCGCATTTTTGTGTAATATCACAGAATTTTATATCTTCGCATTTTTATGTAATATCACATGTAGGGCACTTTGGTGCTATATCATCCATTGCAACGCCAGCAGAAATGACTGCATCTACAAAATGATGTATGGAAGTATCGTTTCATGTGGAAAGTCTACTGGACTTCACGAAAATATGGTAAAATAGTCAGAAACTGATACAGAATCGCTATGGGTAAGGGAAATGTTTTCCGTTCTTTTTGAAGGAATACCTATGGAAACTTGTTTATTTAGATAGGCCGCTATGCTATACCGAAAAGTAGGGTTAGAGCTCCACGAGAAAAGACTCCTTATCACGGGCAATATTTTGTGCTGGATAAGAAGTCAAGGAAATGGATAGAATATTATATGAAACTACGAGATTTGTAAGTTCAATCTTATTTCGAGAACATTCTTCAAATTATAAAAGTTCACTACAGCGTGATCGAGAAGGAAGGTTACAAGGAATGAATGAACCGATTGCCCATTTTTCTTCAATACAAAGGGAAGCGGGTGCATCAAGTTACTGTTCCGCACATAATCAAACAGTTTCTGCGTGACAGTGGTGTTGGAAAATTGAATCTCTCTTGCAATACGATATATTTTTAGCGTTTGTGTATGTGTTTTTATTTGAAGAGCTCACTCAAGAGCTCCTATTGAGACGCTTAGTTTTATGATTTGATTCAGACAAGGTAGCTGTAGCCGGACTGCAGTACCAGGATTATTATGATGCACAGTACAAACATTTCAGCAGCAAGTGAGCATTCCGCTACCATGGCCATTACATTTTCAATTGTTCAAATTACAACGCTGCCTATTCTTACTTAAATTACAGCGCATCCGTAGACATGCAGATGTTGAACTATCAGGATCGACATCAGGCTAGTTGTGCTTACGGATACGTAAAGGTGAGACAAGTGGCTGAGCAAGAGAAAGTCTCAGAAGAGGAAATCTCGAATAGAGTGCGACAGGTCAAAAAAATGTTCAAGGTTCCAAAGTAAGTGATATCGAGCAAAAGTGCGTTGATGCTGGAAATCGATTTTAGCTTGGAACGACGCAGAAATTTGGCTGACTTGGAAGAGGAGTTTTTGGAAATGGATGACTACGACGAAGGTCTGAGAACTCATACTGAAACTGAAGAAGTTGGCATAGACCGAGAAGTTGCGGTGGGTGTAGGAGCTGAGTTAGAAGTAGTTGATGAAAGTGAGGACGATGTGGAATTTGCGAGTGACGAAGGCGAAGATGTTGAAAGGAGCAACGACCACATGGAAAGCGATCGGAGACTTTTTATCGTTTTGGTATGCACTTGCTCATGTAAAAACTCTAGAAATTCACACCGTTTTTCTAGATCCAAAACGACGACAATCGCGTGTTACAAAAGTGAAGGCATCGCCGATAAAGCGTGCAAGAGTTTCACCAGCGTTGGAAGAAGGTTTGACATTAATGTAAATACTAGATCCATTTTCATATTACGCGCATAGGTTCGTCCAAAAGCCCAAGCTTGGAAGATGTTGTCATGAGAGAGGGGATGTAACGTCTTTATTTCTGAAACAATTCGATACAGTCCCAAAAGATAGTGGTAATGATGAACCAGTCCAGCGCATTGTCATAGATGATGTGGACGATTCCAACGATGAGGACGACACTATGCTTGCTTTACTTGCAAAACGATTTGGCTCTGATTTTCCAAGCATGCAGTTACAATATCTGAACAACGTTCCCTACATCGATGTCGATGGTTTAACACCACTTAATACGTTGTACGAATGGAACAGTTTTCATCGCAGATGCCATGCACAGAATGTGCAGGTACGTACTCTGCAAAAAATTAGTGCTATGCGGATGTTTGTACGTTATTTAGGACCTCCCATGGTTACAAGCGAGAAATGCCTACTATCAACGGACGAGGTGTTTACGCAAAAGTAAATATTGCTAAGTGGCTGTTGCCGATTATCGGTAGGTAGTTTTTCAGAGAATGATTTGAATTAGGCGTTGATGAACGATAACTCGTTGAAGGAAAATTCAATGCTGCATTATTACAGTGAGAATTTAGTCTGTCGATGAATGCTTGTATTTAGTGGCTAGCTATCGTGGAAAAAATGAAGAAGTAACCAAACCGTACTTGAACAAGCTAAACAAAGAGCAGCGCGATAGAGTAGCCACCTATTGGACGGGTATGGTGGAGGCTGATTGCAAATACATCGTACTTGCACATTGTGAATCCTACCTATAAATCAACGGTGACGCTAGGACGCCTCATTAATCAATCAATAGAGCATGCAAATTTGGAATTGCGTTGCATCCACTTCGGTAAGCGTCGAGTGTGCAGGCTTGATTGCTTGATGGCCAAAAGGGATATAAAGGTATACAGTGTTGCAAAGCAGTTATCAGTTTTAGTATTTTTCTTCACATAAACTTTACAGGCTGGTGAACAGCTACTTTGGAATTACGGCACACTGGAAAGAAAACAGGATAGCCCTTATTTTCCATCTAACTACCTGCATCTGCAATGAATGCGATCCGAACACACTAAATAGTAAGCGCTACTTCTTTTCCCCTATAACTCTATGTACACTGATTATCTCCAGTGTCTTCTTCAACACTGATGCGTCGAGAAACACTTCCCACGAAAGTTCCAAGAGTATGGGATCACGGACGGTCACTTTCGGAAGAAGATTTGCGGACACATGAAAGACCCCCATTTGATGTGGGGGAATTATTATTTCTGGTCACACAGAAAGCTAATGTGGTAGGACTGTTACCTGAACGTGCTCCTACCAAATACCCTCGCATTGCATTTGCCAGAAGTAGGAACGTCACATTAGGTGGCGAGGTAAAGTACACAAACATAATCTCGTTTTTTGCAAACTAATGAATTGCTTTATTCAGGAAATTTTCCCGAATCCAGATGAAGGTTTTATAAATATAAAGGACACATCACCCTTATCGCAACTATTACGGATAGCAGCAGAAGCTGCTTTTAAAGGCAGCGTACACCCAAAATTTGAGTTACCGAATTTCCTAGATCTTTCTACACCGTGTATATACTGGGCCCAGAAGAAGACCAACTGCGTTGGTCCGGTCTCCCAATGTTGCTTCTGAGCGGAGAAAATCCCCCTCAATTTTCTTTCACGCCGCCCCTTTTCTTTCGCTACGCCTCCTCCGGACGAATCCATAACAGCGTAAGCTGCAATTGCAGTTGCAGTTGCTGTTGCAACATCTGTTGCAATTGTTTTGGGTGTACGCTGCCTTTAAACGCAAGAAACCAATCGTCGTTATCATTTATCGAGCGCGAAACGACCCTCAGCCAGTGATTATACTTCTGGGAGCTTGTCCTCTTGAGGACAGCGGCGATCGTTACTGTTGCGTGGTTGTTATAGGCGAGGATATTTTTACTGTGGTAGGGTTCACCTATGTTTTTTTGCAAAAAAATGTCATTATGATTTATTCTATGTTTACAGGAAAGCCAGACGATGGCCAGAGCAGAAGAAATTCCACTGCACACCGAGTTTTTGGAAGCTGGCCCACTCACTCGCCATTTTCCAAAAAAAAACAAAATATTCGTGGAATTCTGTTTGTTATGATCCCCTCTCCTTCGAACAAATCCTACAACAATTGCTAAATGAAACGGAGCAACATGTTTAAGTGTAGCAAAAAAGAATTTTATTCGAAATTACTTGGGTATGTATTGGGTTGTTGCAAAAATAATGTCCGTTTTTCTAGGCCTATATTTCAAACAACTTTTTTTCCATCAAACTTTCTTTTTCGATTTAGAGTTTGCATATCATTGAAAAGCCCTCTCAAGTACTTTCTAACGATGTGGAAATAGGCTGCTATCCTCATCTGTAAGAATTTCACCAGCATCTCGCATAACCGCACTCAAAATTGAAATTTCGATGCTTGAGTTTCCGTGCCCACAATTTAGGCGCAAATGAACGAATTCGTCTGAAAACATAGCATTTCTATTGGATGAAGATTGTTTACCTACTGCGTGCTTATGTGGATTTTTGGAGATATCTGGACTGAGAAATGGACGCCTCGAAAGAGATACTCACTGCTGGAATTCTATGGATCAGAAATTTCTCCTAATTAAGGCAATCAAAGCTTCGCCCATTTCTGTAAACTTGAGATTAGCACACCTCAACTACAATATTTGTAGAGAAACTTAGCTATTCACTGCGCGAAGAATTTCGGATTTCTACGATTTGACACTTATAAGCCTACAACAAGTAGGCTTAGAAAAGTGAACTTTTTCGAATTTTTGTCTTTTCTTTTCGCGGAACTCTTTCGTCGGAGTCTTTTCTATACCCTCATAAACTCTTGGTCTGCTGCTACAAAATAAGCTGTTGCCAGCCATACGAACAAAACTTGAAGGGAGTTGTAAGCTCTTAAAGAAGAAGTTTTCGAAAGAGAAACTTTTAGCTTTTTGACGCGTGGTTTTCTTCCCAACTGCGATATCAGTACGAGCAGGCGCTAAACGGAAAGGTTTGTTGTTTCTGAAGGTCTTGACTGCATTCAAAAATATGAAGACTGAACGAAGTTATAGCCCTCCAAAGTGAAAATTGCAAAACGGACATTATTTTTGTAACAACCTAATAATATTTATTAGGTTGGCACATAAGTTTTGCAACTTTTTCTTATAACTCGTGTGTTTTGCGATGTGGCGCTTCCATTTTCAGGTATTATAATGAGTATCGTGTGAACAGCGAAAGCAGCCATTCCTGCCGTATTCCAACATCACGTTCGAGAGTTACGGTAAGGCAATTTTTGAATGGGAAAGAAATAGGTGAAACGGATTAGGGTGAAACTTGGTCTAAGGGGGTTATTCCACATCCTGATTACGAAAATGATATTTATTTTGCTTGAAAAATTATTTTGCTACGAAAAAGTTAAATTACAAAAAATCACTAGGCTAATTTTTGACTCTGACAACAATTGAGTATGATATTCGTATTCAGCATGTCAAGTTACCCCATCGTGCAAAGTTTCGCCAAAATCCGACAATTCTGACTCTTTGGCATTGATAAATTATCCAAGCTACTTTGACGCATTCGATTTGTTCGAGTTTATGAAATCGCCAGATTTCGATTTAACAATGAATCACGATTCTTTTTTTCGCTGGGTTCAGTAGCCACCCTCTGAGAACATTTTGCCTACAGTTCCAGCTGAATTTGGTTAACTTACTTTCTGTAGGTCTTCATTTTTGTTGAAAAAACCACAAAACCTCAATTTTGACTGCTTTCAGGAGAATACGTAGATTTTTTCCATTTTGCCACGAAAAATCAAACGGTTCGCGCAGATTTATAGCGCACTTCCGAGTCTACATAATGCCAAAATTTGGATGCGCCTTGTTCAAAGAGAACGAAGTTATGGACAAGGTTGCAAAACTTATGTGCCAACCTATTAAATGCACCAGTCGGGGGTATGTTCGACGCCATAAATTCCAGTAGCTCAAATATTTTGCTTCATCTACTCCGGCCTTCAAAGACTTTCTGACTTTACAATTTTGACTTTTGTCTGCAAAGTCTTTCATATTGTTCTTGTCAATACTGTATTTATATGTGAGCCGTTTTTTTGAATCTCTATCGATCTCCATGTACAGATTTCTCCGAAATGAACGATTTTAGCTCAAATTTGTGAGTATGTCCATATCAGAACGTTGCAAAAAATCATAACCCTAGACAACGATCTGCGATGCGCTGCAAAACGGCCGAAATTTGTGAGATTTCAAATTTGAAAAATGCGTTTTCGTTCGACTAGCAACAAGCTTCAAAAATCTCTAACCAAAGACATCGTTTAATCTCAATGAAAATATACATATATAAGCTGGTCAAAATTCTCTTTCTTTGCGTTGCCGCAGGTAAGTAACTCACAGATTCCCATTTCGACCAGAAAATGCAGGATATCGAGTCTCAATCCAAGAAACTCTGGCAACAAGAATGTGACTTCAAGCGCTTAGTGAGAGCACCTATCTGCCTGCCATATCCCAGCTATGTAGCCGTATCTTGCAGATGAGCCAGGGATAATCAAAAACCGCAAAAAACTTCGGATTGACAATGTTTGATATTTTGAGAATTCTCAGAAAAATGGAGTAACTAGGGAATTGTCAGGGAAAGAGGAGGAACTAGAGCTGTGCAATAGATTTGAGTATGGTGTTCAAGCTCTTTTGAAATATGAGAAAAATGGGCTTTTGAAATCCAGCCATTAGAAATTTTAGGAATTTGTTCAAAAATTCATAGATAAATCTGCTGTAAAGTTAGAATTGGGAAACTTTGCAGCTAACTTACACGCAGGTTCTTAGAGAAGCTGAGCTATTTCAAAACATGGGATTTTTTTGGATAGTTTCAAAACAAGGGACTCGAAACTCTGGTAGGTTTCACCTCTTAGAATCGATCGTAACCCCTTGATTGCCCGGATTTCTTAGATTCTGTGTGAAATTCTCTATCGAATGGTGATTATTGCAAGTTTCTAGCATAAATCTGCGCAAAGTTAGGGCTTTTTGAAGGAAATTCTGCGAAAATTCCGAGATTATGAAAGTCTTAAGACAAAAAACACATCCATAAGTGCACATGGATGCACTTTTGTACTTGTAAACACGTTCTTGTTCTCTCCCTGTGCAGGGAGAGGTTTCCAAAATTTAATCAGACCACAACTGGTGGATTGGGTCAGATCATGAAAGTACCTCAAACTTGGGTAATTAAACCGTCGATGCTAGCGCAACGGTGGACAACCACCTCTGGGACGGCGTATTCGAAAATCCAGGTGTGCCAGGTGAGTGTGGGAAGGGGGGGGGGGGGGGTGCTGAGACAATCGCGACACTTCACAGGCCTTTTTCACCTCTTAGAATCGATCGTAACCCCTTGATTGCCCGGATTTCTTAGATTCTGTGTGAAATTCTCTATCGAATGGTGATTATTGCAAGTTTCTAGCATAAATCTGCGCAAAGTTAGGGCTTTTTGAAGGAAATTCTGCGAAAATTCCGAGATTATGAAAGTCTTAAGACAAAAAACACATCCATAAGTGCACATGGATACACTTTTGTACTTGTAAACACGTTCTTGTTCTCTCCCTGTGCAGGGAGAGGTTTCCAAAATTTAATCAGACCACAACTGGTGGATTGGGTCAGATCATGAAAGTACCTCAAACTTGGGTAATTAAACCGTCGATGCTAGCGCAACGGTGGACAACCACCTCTGGGACGGCGTATTCGAAAATCCAGGTGTGCCAGGTGAG